GAATGTTTGATTTTCCATTTAATTTTGAAATTGGGAAATACAATATAACAACCACGTAATTTGTTTTTCTGATTTTGTTTTGAAACGGAAGAACTAATGATTGAAGGATACACGGATTGTTCACGGATTATAAGGATTTGGATTTTCCAATTTGAATTAGAAAGGAAAATAAACAATAAAGAATGGAAAATTTGTTTTTTGATTTATTATGAACAAGGAATAACTGTTGAATTGAAGGGGTACACGGATTATTCAGAATACTATATTGTATTGATTAGCAATAACAAAAATTAAACTACACATGTTTACATATAGCTACCATTTATTAGGGATTCTAAAAAGCCAAAGGAGGAGCAGATCATATGCAAACTTTTGCATTAACTTGCATTTAAGGCATTTTAAGCGTCCTGCACATACGCACGGCTCATTCCACTCAGCGCTCTTTAGTATTAGATCCGTGTTTTCTTCCAGCGCCCCTTGTGTGGCGTAGTGGGAGTGTCCAAGTCTTTCGCTTGGGAAGAATCACGGGTTCGAGCCCCGGACAATCCTCAAATTTTTTTATTAGCGGGGGGTGTTTATGAAAATCCAGATTACCTCTGTTACTGAATAAAGTTGCATTTTTTCCTGCAGTTTGGTTGGTGCAGATTTTTGAAGTTTACAACAGTTTTATACAGTCTAGCAACTATTTTTAAATATGTTGGCCTAATTACTAAGGTTGTTTTAGAAAAAATTTTAAACGTCAACAAAATCAAAAGGGTCGTAGACTGTACTTGAACACGAGTCCTCTTCACACCAGAGTCCACCTCTTTATCATTGAGCTATAAAGCCACAGAAAGTTGTCCGGTGAACAGAGAACAAAGACCGATTGAGAAGCAATTTTCCTAACCCTGCTCACAAGTGCCACCTGGTGGTTGTTTCGGGTCATTGCAGCATCAATGGGGAAAAATAAAGAAAAGAAGCGTGAAGCACACTGGTCTCGTGTGATTCACGCGTGAAATGACGACAAATCGAAGTGGGACTACTGTAAGCACAGAACGCAAATCCTATAATGCAGATTGTTTATAAAGTAGGAAAGGAGGAGAGGATAGTGCTAAAAATACCATACTTTTCCAGCAGACTTACTCCCCCTACGCAGCTTGACTGGACAGTCAAAAATGTCTAGCCTTCCCTGAGCTTACCTTCCTATCCATATGATAAACTAAAGACGACTGTTTTAAGACTTACCTTGAATGTGGTAGACACGTGTTCCGAACGAAGGAGTAACAGCAGCTGCCGGGCTAGGATAGCCCAGGCTACAGCACCAATATTTGTGGATTACAACCAAGTGTGTAAACCAAACCAGACTAAACAACCTAACCATAGGCAAAAAAATTGTTGCTTAAAGTGGCAAAAGGGAGGTTTTTAAGTCTGGCACTTGAATGTGGAGACCGTCTCTGCTTCCTTATTCCACAGTAAAGGGGCTTGGTAGCTAATGTCTTGCTGATGACAGTACTTTTTGAGACTTAGGAACCTACAGACTTGCTCTGGCGTTTTGTGAGCACAGTGCTCGGTTTGGTTGATATAGAACTAACGTGTCTTGAAGATAAGAACGAGCCAGGCTCATTCATGGCTTTGTATACTAAAGGAAGGATTTCCGTGTCACTTCTAGAATGGATATTCGTGATTTTAGCGATGTTCGCAAGTCGGAAAAAGCTGTTTTGTTGCTTGGCTTATATAAGCCCTTGAAGGAGTGTGCACAGTCGAATTCCAACTCCAGAATAAGGCGATGATTTGTGATTCAAATTGACAAAGTGATACCGATCGATAGATAGGATTTAAAACCAGCCAAGGGCTGTTCCTCTGAGACCTATATCACATTTCTAGCCTCGCAGTAGAATTCTGTGGTCTCTTGTGTTAAATGGAGCACTGGGGTCCAGTAGGACCATACACTGACACTTGTCACTATTAGCAGCTAGCTAGTATGTCTTTTTTTACTTTGACTAGTGCTCGTTTCAAGTGCTATGATGAGCTCTGAATTCCCAATTTGGAAAGGTTTCAAACATATTATTTTCCTGACGGTGGAAGCAAGACTGTTTTGGCTCTAAGGTTTTCCAGGATTTTTTTGTCTTCAGAGGGGTTGATGACCGCGGTTTTAAAAGCTTGTGGGACTTAGCCACATTGTATAGATGTGTTTATTATGTTTAAGATTGGCTCTTGTGTCAAAGGAGCAGTGTCTTGGAAGAGCCAAGCTCTTTAAAGACAATTAGGGCGTCGGTGGTTCAGTGGTAGAGCATTGGACCTTGGAGCATGAACGGTCGTGGCGTTGGAACCCAGGTTCTCCACTGGACTCCTCTGATGTCTGCTGTCGTTGTGTCCTTGGCTAGACACTTAAATCCTATGGCCTGATGCCACAGTGGGGCCGGCTGGGGGCGGTAAAGTGGCAACTGCCGTTGTGTCCTTGGGCAGAACACTTTCACCTCCATTGCCTAGAATGAGTCTAAGTTGGTAGTTTTTTGTGTGAATGGTTGGTGGTGGTACGGAGGGGTCCATTGGCACATACGGGTTGCCTCGCTTTGTCAGGTGCCCCAGGGCAGCTGTGGCTTACATGTAGCGTTTATCACACTGTGATGAAGTGAATGGAATAATGCAGCCCGCGAAAAATTCAATTTGGTAGACGTTAACCAAATTACCCCATCCTGGCGGTTCACATCCCAGCCGATCGCTCAACTGACGCCCCCTTCCAATCCCGTACCGACTAGCCAGCCGCATAATAACGGAGGAATCACACTCTCGGCTGAAGCCTTGCATGAATCGTTCTGGAGGAATCGCTTTGTTACTCCGCTTATCCTGCGGTCCCTGTCTGTCTCTGTATTGTGCGTTGGGCCTGACAACCAAAAACACACAACGAAACATGTGTGTTTCTTCACGTCATGGGCCCAGCGTTCGTCCCCGGGCTCGCTCCCGCAGTCCGTCACCAAACACAGAGGTGCATGGTGAAGTTGTGCACCGTCACGTCGGCCTTCGTCGAGTGCACCTGCGCAAGCCAAACAACCCTGTATCCAGCGCTCACAAAACAGACAGACCAGTAGTTCAGAACTATTGTTTTTCTCACCCACATATTACTGTACTTATTATGCACCACCTCTTGCACAGTATTATTTGTTTCAAGGCCAACGCACGAAATCAAGAAATTATTTTTAATACTGCCCATTAAATTCCACAAACAAAACAAACATTCCTGAAAAATGACCGTTATTTGAGACCTCTTAAATTTAAAACCGTAATCTACTGTTACATGTCTTTTTGCTTCCCAGGTTTCAATATGAGTGTGGAGTGTGTGTCTGTGTTTGTTGTGTTGGTGTCTGTTGTGTCTGTTGTGTGGGTCTCTGTGTGTCGGTGAGTGTCTGTGTGTGTCTGTGTGTTTTTTTGGTTCTTGCACTTGTGTGTCTGTGTGTGTCTGTGTTTTGTCTGTGTTGTGTCTGTGTGTCTCTGTTCGTTGTTCTGTGTGCTTGTTGTTGTGCTCTCTGTGTGTGTCTGGTGTGTTTGTGTGGTGTGTTCTTTTCTGTTTGTGTCTCTGTTGTGTCTTGTGAGTGTGTGTCTTGTGATGTCTCTTTTGATGTCTGTCTGAGTGTCTTCTGTGTGTGTCTTTGTGTGTGTGTTCTGTGTGTTGTGTTCTTTGGTGTAGTTCTGTCTGTGTTGTCTCTGTGTTGTCTGTGGCGTGTGTGTGTCTGTGTGTCTGTGCCTGTGTGTCTTTGTGTTGTGTTTCTGTCGTGTGTGTTGTTCTGTGTGTTTTGTGTTGTGGTGTGTGTCCAGTGTCTGTGTGTTCTCTCTGTGTTGTGTGTCTCTGTGGTGTTCTTGTTGTCTGTGTGTGTTCTTGTTCTGTGTGTTTGTGTCTGTGTTGTTCTGGTGTGTGATCTGTGTCTGCGTGTGTGTTGTCTGTGTGTCTGTGTGTGTGTGTGTCTGAGTACTGTTCTTTCGATCATCCCAAGACACCTACCCCAATGACCCCCCCACAACCAATTCTGACCATGACGATTATTTGAGCAGGCCCTCTGACATGTGTTAAAATAAACAGTGTGTGTTGCTTCCCTGGTCCTGATACCTTTTGAGTGGACATTAACAACCACGCCGTTGTGTTGTTGCTGGTCCAGTTCTTCTGCGACTTTTTAACTCATTAGATTTGCGAAAACACGTCTCACAACAGAGCATTCCCAAACTCTCCTTAGCGTCGTTATAAAAAGGCCCGCCTCTCTGTTCTCAGGCATCGCCTGTTGTGGGCAATTTGCTTGGAGGGGGGGGGGCCAGGGCTGGGGGCGAGGATGGGTTGGGCCTCAGTGTGGTGCGCGGCGGATGGGTGAGGAGGGGTGAGGGGTCTGTGACGGACGGCCCCCCAGACAGATGTCTGTCCGGAAAGGTCCCTTAGATTTTTGTCCCGGGGGCCCGTGCTAATGACATTATATCAGCGCACATTACGAGGCTGGGTTCGTGAGATCGGGCCGCCCAGTGTGTGTGTGTGTGTGTCTATGTGTGTCTCTTTCTCTGTCTGTGTCTGTATCTGTCTGTGTGTGTCTCTCTCTGGCTGTGTGTGTGTGTGTATATCTCTTTGTGTGTCTCTGTCTGTGTGTGTGTGTGTGTGTGCGTGTGTTGTTACCATCAGGAACTAATAAAGTACATTATGAGAATGTGATTTCACTTTTATTGGCTTAAACTTTTATGAATCTGACATTTCCAATAAGATGACGCACAGAAGATATTGTTTAAGTTATTGTTATTGTGCGTAAGATTTGTCTTTGGACACAGCAGACGCACAACTACATAAACACATCAGGAAAACTGGATAAATGTACTCTTTCCTACTCAACTATACTTCATATCAGTTTTTAATCTGGTATTTTAGATTGACTTTACATTTGTCTAAGAGCCGCAATACTGACGTTTTGAAAGAGAAAAAGAGAGAGAGAGGATTTTTTGAAGATACTGGAGTAAAATACACAGAACAGAGTAGAAAGTAGTGTAGTTACTTGAGTATCTTGAGTGGGATGGACGTGTCTTTGATGGCCACGATGACGCCGCCGTGATCCAGATACAGGATGTGGTGCTCCTCCTCAAACACCTGAACAAACATCACAGACTTTGTACAAGATCTGTGTTTATGTTTTTATATTTATTAATTACAAGCAGATTATTAATTATTGGTCTCTCTCTGATCTCTCTCTAGTCTCGCTCTGGTCTCGCTCTGGTCTCACTCTGTTTTCACTCTGGTCTCACTCTGGTCTCTCTCTGCTCTCTCTGCTCTCTCTGTTCTCTCTCTGCTCTCTCTGTCTCTCTCTGGTCTCTCTCTGCTCTCTCTGGTCTCTCTCTGGTCTCTCTCTGGTCTCTCTCTGGTCTCTCTCTGCTCTCTCTCTGCTCTCTCTCTGGTCTCTCTGCTCTCTCTCCTCTCTATCTCTGCTCTCTCCCCTATTCAGCTTTTACTATACTTTATATGTACAGAACAACTATAAAAACAACAATGTATTTTCTGTCTTTTTACAAAAGAATGAAATTAATATTGAAAGAAAAACGAATAAATCCAGAGCACACCTGTCTCCACGTCTTGCCGCAGTCCGAGGTCACGTACATGTCCTCCTTGTACTCCACCAGTTTGGATCCAAGGTTCCCTAAAAGCAAAATAAGTAGAAAATGTCAGACTCAGATAAAAAGCCATAAAATTATAAAATTAGACGCACTATTTTAGGCCATTAAAAATGACATTGAGACTGTTAGAGAGAGACCAGAGAGAGACCAGAAAGAGACCAGGGAGAGACCAGAGAGAGACCAGAGAGAGACCAGAGAGAGACCAGGGAGAGACCAGAGAGAGACCAGGGAGAGACCAGAGAGAGATCAGGGAGAGACCAGAGAGAGACCAGGGAGAAACCAGAGAGAGAACAGAGAGAGACCAGAGAGAGACCAGGGAGAGACCAGAGAGAGATCAGGGAGAGACCAGGGAGAGACCAGAGAGAGACCAGAGAGAGACCAGAGAGAGACCAGGGAGAGACCAGAGAGAGACCAGGGAGAGACCAGAGAGAGATCAGGGAGAGACCAGAGAGAGACCAGGGAGAAACCAGAGAGAGAACAGAGAGAGACCAGAGAGAGACCAGGGAGAGACCAGAGAGAGACCAGGGAGAGACCAGAGAGAGACCAGGGAGAGACCAGAGAGAGAACAGAGAGAGACCAGAGAGAGACCAGGGAGAGACCAGAGAGAGATCAGGGAGAGACCAGAGAGAGACCAGGGAGAGACCAGAGAGAGACCAGGGAGAGACAAGAGAGAGACCAGGGAGAAACCAGAGAGAGACCAGGGAGAGTATGAAGAGGGAACAATGCTAAGGGCCTGTAATTCCCAATGCTACCACCAGAGGGAGATGGAGATAACAATAAAATAAAACGTACAACACAGTGATGTAGATAAAAAAAATAGCAACACACAAATAATACACAAAAAAATACACACGACACCAATCTCGTTTGAATGTATATTATGTTAGAATAAAAAAATAATATTGTGGGTAAAAAATGGATGGAAACTATGATGAGAAATGTCATGGATCGTCATAAATAAATCCAATCAGTTCCACGCTCTTCAGCCTCTGCTTTCTGTCACAAGGTCGAATTATCGGAGATGGAATAAAAAACACTGTATAATTGGAAAGTTGTTTTGGAATTAAAAGTTTTCTGTTTTATTAATTAAAACATGTTCCAACTTTGCAGCAAGTTAATCTGTTATAACTCTAACTGCTATTTCCTCAACAAAGATGTGTGTGTGTGTGTGTCTGTTTGAGAGAGAGAGAGAGAGACCAGAGAGAGAGATCAGAGATAGAGACTAGAGAGAGATCAGAGAGATAGACCAGAGAGAGACCAGAGAGAGACCAGGAAGAGACCAGAGAGACCAGGGAGAGACCAGGGAGAGACCAAAGAGAGACCAGAGAGAGACCAGAGAGATAGAACAGAGAGAGACCAGAGAGAGAGAGAGCAGAGATAGAGACTAGAGAAAGACCAGAGAGAGAGAGAGAGACCAGAGAGAGACCAGAGAGATAGACCAGAGAGAGTCCAGAGAAACAAGAGAACCCAACAAAAGTCAGAGACCCCAGCTTTAAATCAAAGAGTATTCACTGTTAAAGGGTAAAAAACGGAGCAAAACTGAATCAACTCGAGAGTTTAAAACCAACACGATCCTTTAATGTTCCCTGGAGCAGCTTCAACGGTTCATCGATTTGTCCACTTGGAAACTTAAAGTTACAAGTTATAAACTCTGAGAGTCCTTCGTGATTCTTAACATTTGTCCAGAAAAGTTTAGGGAGTCAGAAGCAGCTCGCTCTGTGCTGCCACTGGACCAGAGAGACACTAAAGCGAGAACAGAGAGAGACCAGAGAAAAGAGAGAGACACTCCAGCTGCAGGACTGACCTGCTCCCATGATGAGTCCGGGGGCGGAGTCTTTGGTGTGGACCGTCCCGGACACGTAGGGGTTGTCGGCCCAGCGCAGGTGCAGGTGCAGGTAGCAGTCCGGCTGAAGCACAACACAGACTCAGGTCACAAAGTTAAAGCAAGACACATCGGGACATAGCATTGTAGAAAGAAAGAATTAAGACAAATGTAAAGGGTTTCTTGCTCTCTCTAGTCTCTTTCTAGTCTATGGTCTCTCTTTAGTCTCTCTCTGGTCTCCCTTTCTTTTCTAGTCTCTCTCTCTAGTCTCTGGTCTCTCTCTGGTCTCCCTTTCTTTTCTAGTCTCTCTCTCTAGTCTCTGGTCTCTCTCTGGTCTCCCTTTCTTCTCTGGTCTCTCTCTCTAGTCTCTGGTCTCTCTCTGGTCTCCCTTTCTTCACTGGTCTCTGTCTATAGTCTCTGGTCTCTCTCTAGTCTCTGTCTTTAGTCTCTGGTCTCTCTCTGGTCTCTCTCCCTCTAGTCTTTAGTCTCTCACTGGTCTCTGTCTATAGTCTCTGGTCTCTCTCTAGTCTCTGGTCTCTCTCTAGTCTCTGGTCTCTCTCTAGTCTCTGGTCTCTCTCTCTGGTCTCTGGTCTCAGTCCGGCTGCAGGCAGAACACAGGAGCAGACTAAGGACCCAGAACAACGTGACATTTTTCAAGTTAGAGCAAAAAACATCAGGGACATAGAATTATAGAAATAAATGAATAAAAAGTAAACAGACTAGATCTATATTAATTTTTCCGTGGGCTCCTCAGTCTTACTCACGTCCTGAATAAAAACATCTCTGTGAAGCAGCTTTAACAAAAGTCTCTCAACACAGGAACTCAAACTCACTCACTCTCATTTCTCACAATCTTTTATTTTACACTTCTGGGTTATAGCTCAAACCAGAAGCAGAAAGGAAAGTGGAGAGAGGGAGATATGTGGAGGAGGAGAGAGAAGACAGATGGAGGGTTTTCTGGTGAAAGAAGTGAAATAATCTCCTTTAATGAAGAAATAGAGGCCGGAACACTTTGAAAAAAGAGCAGAGAAAATTTCAGGGACTTTTGGTTTGCATTTGTTCACTGCATTGGTTTGTCTATTGTTGAATATGATGTGCATCCACAAAACAGCTCTGACACAGACTCAAGGTTACCCTCTCCAAACTCTCTCCTCTCTCTCTCCTCTCTCTCTCCAAACTCTCTCCTCTCTCTGTCCTCTCTCTCCTCTCTCTCCAAACTCTCTCCTCTCTCTCCAAACTCTCTCCTCCCTCTCCAAACTCTCTCCTCTCTCTGTCCTCTCTCTCCACACTCTCTCCTCTCTCTCTCCTCTCTCTCCAAACTCTCTCCTCTCTCTGTCCTCTCTCTCCTCTCTCTCCAAACTCTCTCCTCCCTCTCCAAACTCTCTCCTCCCTCTCCAAACTCTCTCCTCTCTCTGTCCTCTCTCTCCACACTCTCTCCTCTCTCTCCAAACTCTCTCCTCTCTTTCCAAACTCTCTCCTCTCTCCAAACTCTCTCCTCTCTCCAAACTCTCTCCTCCCTCTCCAAACTCTCTCCTCTCTCTCCAAACTCTCTCCTCTCTTTCCAAACTCTCTCCTCTCTCCAAACTCTCTCCTCCCTCTCCAAACTCTCTCCTCTCTCTCCAAACTCTCTCCTCTCTCTCCAAACTCTCTCCTCTCTCTCCAAACTCTCTCTCTCTCCAAACTCTCTCCTCCCTCTCCAAACTCTCTCCTCCCTCTCCAAACTCTCTCCTCCCTCTCCAAACTCTCTCCTCTCTCTCCAAACTCTCTCCTCTCTCTCCAAACTCTCTCCTCCCTCTCCAAACTCTCTCCTCTCTCTCCAAACTCTCTCCTCCCTCTCCAAACTCTCTCCTCTCTCTCCAAACTCTCTCCTCTCTCTGAACTCTGTCCTCTCTCTCCTCGCCTCTCTCCACTGTCTCTGCTATTTTCTCTCCTCTCTGCAAACTCCTCTCCTCCCTTTCCTCTCTCCTCCCCTCTCTCTCCTCTCTCTCCTCTCTCTCCTCTTCTCTCCTCTCTCTCCCCTCTCTGTTCTTTCTTTCCTCTCCTCTCTCCCCTCTCTCTCCTCTCCTCTCTCTCCTGTCCCTACTATTTTCTCTCCTCTCTGTAAACTACTCTCTTCTCTCTCTCTTCTCCTCTCTCCAAACGCTCATCTCTCTTCTCTCCTCCCTCTCTCCTTGCCTCTCTCTTCTCGCCTCGCTCTCCCCTCTTCTCTCCTCTCTCTCCCCTCTCTCTCATCTTCTCTCCTACCTTTCTTCTCTCCCATGTCCCTAATATTTTCTCTCATCTCTGCAAACTCCTCTCCTCTCCTCCCTTCCCTCTCTCCTATCTTCTCTCCTCTCTCTCCTTGTCTCTCCTGGTCTCCCTTGTCTCTCCTGGTCTCTCCTCCCTCTCCTCTCTCCTCTCTCTCGCCTCTCTTTTCGATCCTTCCATTTCTCTCTCCTCCCCGCTGTCCTCTCTCTCCTCTCTCTCTTTATGACATAATTTGAAACGTTAACACAAAACTCACCCATGACTATGTGCAGTTTTGTAGTAGTGTAGTTGTGTGTGTGTTTTGTAGTTGTATGTGTGTGTGTGTGTGTGCGTGTGTCTCTCACCGCCTTGCAGCTGAGGCTCTTCCCGTTCATGTCTGTCGCTGGAGGCGTCAGTTGCTCCCAGTCTCTGCCTTTGTTGTAGGTGATGACTGTGGTCACTTTCCCGCTCAGCTTCTGATTGGCCAAGAACACTCCTTTCACTCCTTTCACCTACACCAGGAGAGAGAGAGGGGGGGAGGCAAGAGACAGAGAGAGAGAGAGAGAGTTAGATGTGTGTTTTGGAGATATTGGACTTATATTTGTGTTTCTTTCCGTCTGTAAAGTCTTTCCTTTGTGTCCTCCTTAGCTCCACTTCCTGTTGCTCTGACCTCATTTGAATGAAAATGTTCCCTTGAACTGATAAAAAACTTGGAATGAGACTAAACTTCTTTTACCATCGGGTAGAGTCAAAAGAAACACAAAAAACACATTATTAGAGGATTTGTGAACTTGTATTCTGTCTTTTTTAACACACCAGTAAAGAAAAAAACACAAGTATGGTATCGGGAACAATTTTTTTTTGTAACTTTACAAATCTGTCCTTAAAGGGCAGGTGTGGCTGCAGGTCTTCATCCCAACAGATAGGTTTCTGTTTCGATTTCTGTCCTGGGGAGTTCAAAAACCTGAAATATTAGGTCATATTTCCTTCAATCATGTATTTGTTTTTCTCAGGTCTTAAAACTTCCTTGTTTTATTTTATTAGAAAACTAACTCTAACTTCTCCTTCTTCTTCCTCTTCTTCTGCCTAATCTCTCCTCTTCCTCTTTCCCCCACACCTCTTCTTCATCTCCTCCTCCTCCCTCTTCTTCTTCCTCATCTTCTGCCTCATCTCTCCTCCTCCTTCTTCCTCTTCCTCTACCTCATCTCTTCTCCTTCTTCTGCCTGATCTCTCCTCCTCCTCCTCCTTCTTCTTCCTCCTCTTCCCCCTCATCTCTCCTCCTCCTCCTTCTCCTCCTCCACTATAACAATATGAATTCACTGAGCTCTACACGCAGCTGCTCCGTGCTGCATCTGTTCTCTCTTCGTGATGTTGCGTGTCTGAAGCCTCTCTGCACTAACACACCTCCTGCCGCAGGTTAAACTTTAATCCACGGCGATCGATACGACTCCGCGGCTCTGCCCTCCAGTCACGAAGAAGATGGACGTTTAGAAAGGCGGCCATGTTGTTCCACCGGCCCCTCCGTCTGCTTTATTATGTAACGCTAGTCTCGGTGTTGTGCATAGAGTCGGGTCAAGTCTTGTAATCCATATTTGAGCGTGTGTGCGTGTGCGTGTGTGTGTGTGTGTGTGTGTGTGTGTGTGTGTGTGTGTGTGTGTGTGTGTGCTGTCTTGACTGACATTGGGTTGTTTTTTGAAGATTCATGATGATCTATAACGGAGCTGAAGTTGGCTGAATGACAAATGTTTACAATCTCACCACAAATCAACAAATGAACTCCAGACGTACTGGGCTATAGAAAGAGTGACGACATGTCTATATTGGCTGAGCTGAAGTTGGATGGATCACACAGTGAACTTGTTTTCGGACATGCCTGGTCTAACTGATTTCATTGCTGTTATTACACGGCTCCTCACAGCAGCAGTAGAACGCTCCATTGATTTGAATGTTATTTAAAAACGTTATACCGGTCATTATTTCTTGATAACTGACCTCTCAAAACAATAATGGCCGCTGCAGCGGAGGGGTCCGCTTCGCCCTGTCGGTACTTATTTTCCGATAATGACCTGCGTAATATACGTTATCCCTTACTTAATTACTTGTTAATTACAGCCATAGCTTTGATAAATCCGTCTCAAACTTTTTCTGGTCTGGACTGACAGACGTATCCTGCTGGTACTGTCTCACTGGGATAAAAGCCTCACATAGTTGCACCATTCAGGATCTACGGCTAATTTGTATTATTGGATGAAAGTTAATACGAAGCAACAGTCCAAAAGCTTCCTTAAGAGTGTTCTAACCGTCGTGGAGCCTGACGCCGTGTACAGCAACAACATTTCTTATGCAATTCTGTGCAAGACATAATTTGACATGACCATGAATTATTAAGTCATCCACAAGAAGCTGAAGATATGGAAAAGGCAGCTACTTCGAACCGAGTTTCAACGGCACATGCAGAGGTTTTTAAGTTCGTGGAACTGGAGAATGTGACCCGGTGTTCTGTCGAGTTGGTCTGCCCGTCGAGATGATCTGGCTCAGCTGTTAATGATGTAATGCAAACCTGGCCATGCGCGTCTCACTGCAGCCGAAGCAAACCAAGATGGCGGACATGTAGTCCGCGAATTGCTTTAAAAGTTAAATACGAACGAATTAAGACACGAATGTCACTTTTAATGCAATTTGAGGCGAGATGTTGATGGTCCGCGTTGGGATATGTGTGTTTTAAGAGTAAGAGTTTCATGTAAAGTTTGTTTTAAGCAGTCCACTGCTCCTGTGAAACTACACTGCTGCTGTGCCCAAATCTGATTTGCGCATGCGCACAAACCCGCCAGAATGGGGAAAAAACTCAATCTAATTAAATATTTCGTTTGAACACACTATTGTTAATCATATTGAATACAGTATGAGACATGCATTAAATTACATTTATTATTTCCATTATCAACCCGACAGACCAGTCACAGGACGCGTCATGGGCCTGACGTATGCAGCAGTCAACTCAGGGACAGCGATCACACAGCAGCAGTGTAGTTTCACAGGAGCAGTGGACTGCTTAAAACAAACTTTACACACATATCACAATGCGGAACCATCAACATCTCGCCTCAAATTGCATTAAAAGTGACATTCGTGTCTTAACTCGTTCGTATTTAACTTTTAAAGCAATTCGCGGACTACATGTCCGCCATCTTGGTTTGCTTCGGCTGCAGTGAGACGCGCATGCGCAGGTTTGCATTACATCATTAACAGCTGAGCCAGATCATCTCGACAGAACACCGGAGCGTGTTTGGGATGTGTTTTGTAAAGACTGAGAAAAATTGATCCATCTCAGAATTGAAAGAATTGGAAATATTTAAATAATGTGTCCAGTCATAAAAAGTGAAAATACAAACGCAGCAGATTTGGTTTTTCTCTTTTTTTGGATTTGGATTCGAAGATCAGGTTAAAGCCATCTGTGATAAATGTTTGAGCTGTGAGGCTGCAGGTTTTCATTTTGTTTTTCTTTAGATTCTACTAATTTACATTTTCACTTTTGTATGTCTGTGTGTGTGTGTGTGTGTGTGTGTGTGTGTGTGTGTGTGTGTGTGTGTGTGTGTGTGTGCGTGTGTGTGTAAGTGTGTGTGTGAATTGTGTGTGTGTGTGTGTGAATTGTATGTGTATGTGAGTGTGTGTGTGTGTGTTTGTGTGTGTGTCTGTGTGTATGTGTGTATGTAGATGAATGTGTGTGTATGTATATGTATGTGTGTGTGTGTGTGTGTGTGTATATATATGTATGTATATGAATGTAAGTGTGTGTATGCGTGTACATATATGTTTGTGTATGTGTGTGTTTGTGTGTGTGTATGTGTGTGTGCGTGTATATATGTATGTGTATGTATATGAATGTGTGTGTGTGTGTGTCTGTACAGTAGATAAATGTGTGTTTGCATGTGTGTATGTATATGTATCTGTGTGTGTGTGTGTCTGTGTGTGTGTCCTGTGTGTGTCTCTGACCTCCAGGATGTCGATGAGTGTGTTCTCCTCAGGCTGCTGGGTGCTGCGGACGTCCTCCAGCAGCAGAGAGTAATAGACCCCCTGTGGGTCGGACTGGTACAGGTTATAGGTGTCACTCTGGTACCACTCTTGCAGCGCCAACAGAACCTGCTTCTCATCCGTGCTCACGATCTGCACGTCCTGAAACACACGGGACACTCTTCAGTCCTCACAGTCCTCAGTCCTGGGTCTACAGCCTCAATCCTGGGTCTACAGCCTCAATCCTGGGTCTACAGCCTCAGTCCTGGATCTACAGCCTCAGTCCTGGATCTACAGCCTCAATCCTGGGTCTACAGCCTCAGTCCTGGGTCTACAGCCTCAGTCCTGGATCTACAGCCTCAGTCCTGGATCTACAGCCTCAGTCCTGGGTCTACAGCCTCAGTCCTGGATCTACAGCCTCAGTCCTGGATCTACAGCCTCAGTCCTGGGTCTACAGCCTCAGTCCTGGGTCTACAGCCTCAGTCCTGGGTCTACAGCCTCAGTCCTGGGTCTACAGCCTCAGTCCTGGATCTACAGCCTCAGTCCTGGGTCTACAGCCTCAGTCCTGGGTCTACAGCTCTAGCGAAAAAACAATTCACAACAACAAACAAAAACAAAACAATCAAATGAAACAGTATCTCATAGATTCGAAGAACAAAAATAACATTTAAGTTTATCAATAAAACTTTGGTCTCTTCGCTATTGCTAATTCAGCACTTTTGGATTAGGCCATAGTTTAAACATTTACTGCAGACAGATACTGGAGGAAGTCAAATAAAGAAGAATAAACTTTAGCAGGGTCTGTCGTCAGGAAGCACGTTAGCATCCCTCCTCAGAGCTCTTCCATAATGCTAACACCCGAACACATTCCCATCAGCGACTCAGCACTTTCTGTGTCAGACTGATTACATTTACATCACATTTGGAGATAAAGACGGCGGAGCTGAGGAAAAACTGTGGCTCCAATCACCGGAGAGCAACGTTCTCCTCAGAAAACAACCTCAGCCAAATGAACTGCAGATCTGTGAGAGCGGAGAGAGAGATGCTAACGCTTTGTGCTAACTACTTTTATTCAAATATCTGCCTTTGAGGAGATTTGTGATCCAGGCTCAAAGATTCAGTTTCTCTCTCCATGTGTTTCACTGTTTGAAATTAAATAACATAGTTTGAATGATGTGCTGTACTGTATGGCTCCTGCCCTGGATCTACAGCCTCAGTCCTGGATCTACAGCCTCAGTCCTGGGTCTACAGCCTCAGTCCTGGGTCTACAGCCTCAGTCCTGGGTCTACAGCCTCAGTCTTGGATCTACAGCCTCAGTCCTGGATCTACAGCCTCAGTCCTGGATTTAAAGCCTCGTTCCTGGATTTAAAGCCTCGTTCCTGGATTTAAAGCCTCGTTCCTGGATTTACAGGCTCAGTCCTGAACCTAGAGCCTCAGCCCTCTCTGGTGTCTCTCTGGTCTCTCTTTGGTCTCTATCTAGTCTCTCCTTCTCTCTGGTCTCTATGGTCTCTCTAGTCCAGGGGTGTCATTCATACGGCCCTCGGGCCGGAACCGGCCCGCCAAGAGATTTGATACGGCCCGCGGCTCATTTATGTAAAAATATAATAATAATACATTTTAAAAAGCCGCTCCGCGACGCGAGGCGACGCGAGGCTCCGCAACGCGACGCCGCAGCGCCGCGCTCAGGGGTGAGTCCAGTGCGTCTGTAGTGGCTCCACCAGAGCGGTGCTGGAGGAATAACATCTTAAACTACAAGACTCGGCGAAAAATACGGCACTTTGAGTGGAGAATTGAGAAAACAGAAGATAAACATGTCTGGCCCTGAAAACACAGCAGTCTGTTTGTGCCCAGAGCGAGAGGTTAGTGCTGCTGCTGTAAAGGGAAGCTACCTGTGCTAACAACATTAGCATTAGCATCGCAGCCGCACAGTGAGAGAGAGTTTGTTAAACTCTTACAGGCTGCAGACATGGTATGAGAAACCACTCGCTTTTACCAACATGTTGCCATTGATAGACTGATGTTACTGATGTCACATATTCATTTGTGGTGTTACTGAAACTATCAGAGGAGTTTTGAGCGCTGCTGCTGGTGCTGCTGCTGGTTCTGCTGTTGTTGCTGGTGTGTTGGACAGTGTGGACTGGTACCGATGGTAAAAAACAGGTGTAGTGACAAAGCTGCAAATGGAGGTGATGATTTTTGGACATTTGACTGTATTTTACACAGAGACACTGCTGCAGTCGTTAAGAATGAATCACGTTATGGAAGTTGTTTTATTCATTTCAAGTGAATCATGGTCAGTTTGATGCTTTCTCTGTGATAATAACATAACCATGGACCTTACCACACTGAAGATGGTTAATGTGATAATAACATAACCATGGACCGTACCACACTGAAGATGGTTAATGTGATAATAACATAACCATGGACCGTACCACACTGAAGATGGTTAATGTGATAATAACATAACCATGGACCGTACCACACTGAAGATGGTTAATGTGATAATAACATAACCATGGACCGTACCACACTGAAGAAGGTTAATGTGATAATAACATAACCATGGACCTTACCACACTGAAGATGGTTAATGTGACAATAACATAACCATGGACCTGACCACACTGAAGAAGGTTAATGTGATAATAACATAACCATGGACCGTACCACACTGAAGAAGGTTAATGTGACAATAACATAACCATGTACCTTACCACACTGAAGATGGTTAATGTGATAATAACATAACCATGGACCGTACCACACTGAAGAAGGTTAATGTGATAATAACATAACCATGGACCGTACCACACTGAAGATGGTTAATGTGATAATAACATAACCATGGACCGTACCACACTGAAGAAGGTTAATGTGATAATAACATAACCATGGACCTTACCACACTGAAGATGGTTAATGTGACAATAACATAACCATGGACCTGACCACACTGAAGAAGGTTAATGTGACAATAACATAACCATGGACCTTACCACACTGAAGAAGGTTAATGTGATAATAACATAACCATGGACCTTACCACACTGAAGAAGGTTAATGTGACAATAACATAACCATGGACCTGACCACACTGAAGAAGGTTAATGTGACAATAACATAACCATGTACCTTACCACACTGAAGATGGTTAATGTGATAATAACATAACCATGGACCTTACCACACTGAAGATGGTTAATGTGATAATAACATAACCATGGACCTTACCACACTGAAGATGGTTAATGTGATAATAACATAACCATGGACCGTACCACACTGAAGAAGGTTAATGTGATAATAACATAACCATGGACCTGACCACACTGAAGATGGTTAATGTGATAATAACATAACCATGGACCTTACCACACTGAAGAAGGTTAATGTGATAATAACATAACCATGGACCGTACCACACTGAAGATGGTTAATGTGATAATAACATAACCATGGACCGTACCACACTGAAGAAGGTTAATGTGATAATAACATAACCATGGACCTGACCACACTGAAGAAGGTTAATGTGACAATAACATAACCATGTACCTTACCACACTGAAGATGGTTAAGCTGAGGTGCTGTGTTAAAGTGTTTTTTTCTATCTACCTACTTTACCTTTGTGAGCAAGTTTTCTCTGTAATGAGCCTTAAAACAAAGCTAACATACAAATATTAATATATGTAGGGTAACTACTTATATTGCTGATTATGTTATTATAGTATAAATTTGGTAGTGTGGAGCGGCTAGTCTCCGGATCAGAAACTCGCCGTTCCACCAATGGGTCTGTCTTATTTATTTTGGGCACCAGTAGACATTTTGAGGGTCTACGACAGATCCAAACCAACTTTTGCCTCGAGTCAGTCTTATAAATCTAAAAGGTAGTTAATTCGTAAATCGGCCAGGGATATTCCGAGATCTAACAACACGACTCTGATAGGATTGAGTTAAAGAAAAGGGGTTTATTGATTACAAAATGAAGGTAAAAATATAACGAAGGGGATTTCTGGTCACATTAAAGCAGGAGTGGCATACATTTCATTCAAATCACACATTTAACAAGAACAGTCTTACTTTGTAGGAGCGTAGAGGATGGAGGAAGGATTTGGGTTGGGGAATCGGCCCACGTGGTTCCTTTGTCTGGGCAGGCGGGAGGTACAAAGCCAGCGAGTTGGTCCAGCTGCTGATTCACGCGTATGCAGCCCAGTCCGGAATGGGTTGCGTGCGTAGAGTCCAGAGCCACGGAAAAGAGGCTGGTGATGAACAGTTCATAAGGTCCCGAGCCGAGGAGAGTGTGTTTTGCGGAGTAGGAGGCCCGATGCGTGCAGGCGCGGCCGTAGTAGGAGACACGTGCCGCGGGACGCAGATGGGCCGGGGTGGTTGGAATGGTGATTTCAGGAGAAGACAAGAGGAAGTTCTATGGCATTGTTCGTGTTTATATTGACTTCCCAGGGGAGGCATGTCCATGCCGCCCCTGCCCTCTGTGGACAAACCCCTTCACAACAGACAGTTTGTAAAGGAAACACACACGATTGATGCAAATGATCATAAGACATGTACAAACACGCAGTGCATTTACATCACAGACATCAACACACACGAGTAAGGTCCGTAACGTTATCGACATGATATTACAGAGTAATGTCCTTTTCGGGTGTCCGCCTTGGGTGCAGTGGTGTCCAGTGTCCGCTAGGGAGCGCCAGAGCGCCGTGGGAGAGTCTCAGGTTGTGGAATGTCTCATGAGCGATTGCTGATGACTGATTCCTGATCTCCGTCTGGCAGGGGGCACACAGATGTCCTGTTCTGTTGTTTTATTGCCCCTCTGGGTCTCGTTGTAGTGTTCCTGGTGAATGTTAACCTTCAATTGAACCCGCAGTTGCTTTGAAGTCTCAGGAGCTAGGGAGGGCATGTTTACGGAAAGGGTCTGTTATTCACACCCGATTGGCGCTCACCTTTCCCTCACCCTACATATACATATTGTGAAATACCATTTTCAATGTAATATTGTAAATACATTACATTATTTGCACTGTGAAAAACTCACTGTTACATTTAAGTTTGTAACAGAAAACTGAGTATTAAAGGATAGTGTTTTAAAGGAAGTTTTAAATAAATGTGTTTATGTGCACAAAAAGTTGGACTTTGTACCGTTT